TTATTTAAACAGAAATGTTAATTAATCATCATAAATGTTTTACAGTGATTTCTCTTAGTCTATCAGAAGAAAAGTTGAAAAGAAATCTTATCATATTCTGTTAAAACAACCACAGAGTTTATCCTTGCGCTGGCGGCCTGGCTGGCAAAGCCCTTATCTTTCTTCCTTTTCTCTGACTCATTCGTAACGCCTGAGGGCGGAACCAAAGTCGTCCGCTTCTATTACTAACACGGACATCTTTGAGAGACGGAACACTTCTTCCTGGATGCCGAACTGGGAAGGAAGGCTGAGTTTTCTCTTCGGAGAAACCAGTCCGGCCCGTTAGATCTTGCCCATAAGCCAATTAGGGAGATCTAACGGCCAGGACAGWGGCAAGCTGCCGACTGTCCCACCCGAGACTACAAGTCTCTAAGTGTTTTTCAACTCCTGAGGGGAGAATTTTATTTTGAAAGGCCAAACCGGATGCATCAGCTTGAATCTTTCTGGCGAAGATCGAAGCAGACGAAAGTTGCCTAAAAATAACACTTTTCGCCAAGGAACAGTGAGCGGGCCGAACGAAACGTTCCCTGACTGATCGGAGGTGAGACAGTGTCTACCCAGGRTTTAGTTAAGAAGCCAGCAACAGGTAACGCTGTCGTGTTCCGGGTGACGTGTCATGTGGAGATCTGAGCACAGAGGGGACGTGCTGATCCGGTTGACCACTTAACAAAATAASAGTAGTAGAACACTAATCTTATTTTCATCCTTTCCTTATTCTTTATTTGCCAAAACTTAAGCTAAAGAGTGCCAGTAAAATTGTTTGGTTGTTAACATCAGAACTTGACGTTTTACTGTTCTATACATGAGTAATCTGAGTTTAATGTGAATTAAAATTCGGACGCGAGTTTTATCTCATTTAACTTTGAAGCTTGTTATAGGAAACCCACAATCAGGTGTAACTTATGATCTGTTCAATTTGTGTAAATAAATGATTGCATATGAATCAACTTGAACTCGTCTGAACGTCCACTTATTGTGTCACTTCTCACTTCGCACAGTCAAGATATTAAAAGTAATGAGAAAATACCTTGGTAAAACTTTCCTCCTAACTTGTTATGAGAGATATGTAGAAAGGCTTATTTCACCATAAGTCTAACCCCTACAACGGTCACTAGAGGGGTCTGAAAGCATTGAAGCAGTCAAATTATTGTATATTTTTTGTTTTGTTGAAGGGTTAAATTTAGTATAAAGAATATGGTTTTTAGATGTTCGAGCAGATTGATAATCATAATGACGATRCTGTAGGACAGGGCTATTCAACTAAATTGCTTTGGGGCCACAGTTACTGCAGGTCAACAGCTGAGAGGCCGGACATCCAGCAATTAAAATTATTATGTCAATAAATCAAATATTACAAAGATCTGTTACCTTTGAAATAGTTTATTTGGCTTTATTTAATCATGAATACAACATACAGAATCCTATAAAAGTAGTGATAATTAAACAATATCAAAAACAAAAATAACACATTAAATTTATATTTAACACAAATAATATTTTGATATCGCTAAATTGCCAAATTTTTAAACCAATTTTATTTTCACTTTCATAGTTTTATCTTCAACTGATTGTATTTTTAACTGTCTTGAGTGTGCATAGACATGGTTTTAACCAGCTTATAGCCAAGATTCTGGCGTTTCTGTAGACACCAAACATGTCTATGTTTAACTAAAATAACTTMRAGTAATTAAAGTAGAAAACTGGGGGTTTGGGCTTAAGAGATGAATGAACCAATTTGAGGGCCAAACTTTGGTCACTCTCCACCAGCTGAACAGCCCTGCTGTAGGAGCTTAGTACTTACTAAAGTAGTACTCATGAAAATTTGAGAACTGCTCAATTAAGGTATTGGCTRTTCTGGTATATCAACCTAAAATTTTAGCACTGATGCCTCACAGCAAGAAGGGTTCAATCCCTGGTTCAGACCTGGGGTCTGTCTGTGTGGAGTTTACATGTTCTCCTCATGCTTGTGTCAGTTTTCTCCAGGTACTCTGGTTTACCCCACAGACCAAAAATATTTAAGTAGCCTTCAGGCCCTGACCTCAGTTGAAAAAGAGATCTGTGAACTCAATGGGATTTGCCTGTTTAAACAATAAAATAAAAAGTATGCTATATTTGTGATAACTAACTCTTCCAATGACAGACCACGTGTCCCCAGTGTGTTGTCAGTAAAGACGGGACGAACGAGTCTTTGACGTGATCCGGGTCTCAACGATCCATTTGTTCATAGAGTTGTTCGATAGAGCTGAAATCAACCTTACGCCTAGCAATCATCAGAAAATTGACCATAAACAGAACAATTATCAAGTCAGCTTTGTCTGAAGCTTTTTTATAAACACCCTCTAACTAGATTTGACTCTTTGTCCTCGTTTCCTCTGTGTGGTCCTCTCTCCCTTGTTTAAGGGGCTCGGTGCGAGTGCTTCCATCTCAGAGGGGCCTCTCACCACACACATCCCACTGGAGGTCACGGCCTTGCTTTTCCACAGCATCAAACACTTTGTTCTTGCTGTTTTCCCTCTCTGTGATGAAAGTTCTGCATGATTATTCATGCCCTCCAGAACACATACTATATATATATATTTTTCCACTCTCATTCAAATGCTGTTTTCTTTTTTCTTCAGCAGATAGCAGTAATCAGGCATATTAATATTTAGGAGGGAAGCGTTTTGGTAATACCCGTGACAGGAGCATATTATGGTTTGGGGCTGCAGCACATCAAAGGCTTGTTTGAAAGAGATGTTTATTCAATTGTTGTTTTTCACAGACCTTTTTTTTTTTAGAAATCTTGTTTCTGTGTGAACTCAACACATTAACTCTGCTTTGTGTTTGAGTTTACAGGTAACCTTCTAAAGAACAGGTACCTGAACTTAACACAAACAGTTCAGACAGTTTGAAACGTGTCTGTGCCAGGGCCAGACTGGGACCAAAAAACACCCCTGGCATTTTATTTATACAATATATGAATAGACACAACATACCTGAGGATGTATTTGCATGTTGTGTTGTTTCACAAGTTAAAGTGCAGCAGCTTATAAAGAAAAGAGTAACCATGCTTAAAAAAACTGAGCTTTTAAATAGTTATACGCACCTAAGGTGAAAATTTCAGACCTCTCCATGATTTCTAATTGGGAGAACTTGCAAAGTTGCATGTGTTCAAATACTTATTTTCCTCATAGTATTCCTTCAAAGAGGAGTTAGGTTTTTTGTTTGTAAGCTCTGTCACTAATTGTTCATTAGTTTATATTATATGTTTGAGAAGAAACTGGTCAGTTTTTTTCACTGAAGCAGTGAGGATGACTTCAGGAGCTGGAAAAAGCAAAATGTTTTGTGCTTTTTGGATGCAGGAAGCAGGCACAGGATCCAGCTCAGCTCTGATGTAAAACTTCAGATCTACATTTACATTGTGCTAAAAAAGGCCTTTTCTCTTTTCTCTTGTCCTCCCAACCCCACCCCTCCTTCTTACTGCCTCCTGGTCTGAGCAGAGTGCAAGTTCTACTGCACCAATGGAAACTGCTTACGTCTGGGCTCGCTGATCTGCAACCAGCTGAATAACTGTGGGGACAACAGTGATGAGGAGAACTGCCCTGTGGTCACCCAGCATCCTCCACCAGGCATCTTCAGCTGTAAGTGGAGCAGCTTGCTGCTGCTGCTGCTGCTGCTGCTGCTGCTGCTGCTGCTGCAGCTGCTGCTGCAGCTGCTGCTGCTGCTGCTGCTGCTGCTGCTGCTGCATCTCTGAATCTCTTTTCACACACATCCGGCTGCTTTTTCCTCTCCGATTCATTCTTCTTCCTATTTCTTTCACTTCAGTTTGATCACAGAGAGTTTCTTGTCTGTCCTCATTGAACGTGGACACTGTGAACACTTTCATCTCCACTGAGAACATTTCATGAACTACAAACTGTATTCCTGTCAGACGGGAAAAGTTTCTTCTGTTTGCTGCAGCAAAACACTCAAGAAAAAAAGGTTACATGTTTGGGTTTTAATTCACAGTCAGGCAGGTCAGGCTGCAGAAACACAAACTAAGCGTCATAAAATCAATTAGGACTGGTCACAAAAAGTAAAAAAAAATCTGCATTTTTTGTTTTATTTGGCTTAAATCAGGAGTTCTCAGGTTGAAACAGAACTGACTTGATCTTAGTTACATTTTTACACGGAGCAGGGGCGGTTCTCGGGGCGGGGCCAAAGGGGCAAATTATTTGAACTGACAAATGATGGCTGCGTTTTCTCACATGCTGTGTGTTTGAGAGTATTTTATCTATGTACAGTAAAACTGCATATAAAAATGTTTTTTTATTACATTACATTGGAAGTGTTTGAACATTGTGTGACTGGTTAAATGTTTACACCTTAATAAAACCAGGGATTCATGTGCATGGATGTTGAACAGATACTTGGCTCCTCTATGAATATCGTGGCCCCTTGATGGCCCCTTATCCAGAAATATCCAAGATCCTCCACTGGTCTGGATCTGAATCTGGAATGATTTGGGTGAACTCATCACAAACCAAACTGTAAACTTGTAAAACAGTTGAAAGAAGAGAGTTTATGACAAAGAAAAAAGCTGCTCTTAAAAACAATTCTCATATTTTACTGTGTGAGTCAGCTTTTTTTTTTTTTTTTTTTTTTTTTTTTTTTTTTTTTTTTTTTGGATTTTGAGGTTGGGAATTCTGGACTTTCTGAGTCAAGGCCTCAACAAACTTCACCTGAAGCCGAACAGTCGATATGCGGTCACGTGGTTGTTCGGTGTTCATTTTCGCACACACCTTTCACAGCCCTGGAGACACACCATGCTGAGCTCCTGGGAAACCCCTCCCATTGCAGCATCCATCACTGCACAGGGTTTCTTCCCGCTGGAGTCTACAGTAAGAAAAATAAATCTGAGACAGGTCGCTWTGCATTATTTGTGCACAAATCTGTTGCAGTTAAAGCTCCACAGTTTTTATCAGACAGATTCCTCCATGAACGATGTTTTGTCTCAATCCATGAGTTTCTGGCCATTTGACTGTCTTTATAAACATCTGCTTCCTGCTAGCTTAAAACAGTCGGCTTCTAGAAGCGAGTTGGGGTTTTTTTTTGTTGTTGTTGTTGTTTTTTTGTTTTTTGTAAGTGGGTAGTTGAAGCAAAATGCAGTGTTTGTTTGCTTTCAGCACAAACACTCCCACAAACTTCTGACCAATCATACAATAAGTTCTTATGTAGAGGGGGTAAAAAGTTCTGCCGGCAGGTTGTAACAAAAGGGGCGTCAGAGTCGACGCTGAGAACACCATGACGTAATTTTCATCATGAAACCGCGACAATCGGAGCTGATTTCAGCAGTTCAGAGGGAGCGTGAAGAAGGCTTCAACTTTCTGACACCAGTGTTCAGCTTGATCCAGTTCAGGTTGAGTTTTTTGCAAACTAAACTACAAAATTCCAACTTCTGAGTATAAATTAAGCACGTAAATTAGATTAGAACCATTTAGCTCCTGGTGTCTGCCTCTAAGACTCAAATTTACCTTTTGTGGGAAAATGTAATTTTATTAAAATTTAGAAACATCACCAGAGGAAAGGTTGGGTTCTGATATAAGCCTGTTGAGTAATTTAAGATGTTCTGTTTTAAATGACAGAAAAAGTGCTTTAAGTCACATATATAAATGTGTAGAGAAGATTATATCTTTAGTCTTTTTAATAGCTTTAGACTGGACTTATTCATCGAGGAAACAATCCACTGAAAAGAAAAGTGATTCATGATTGAGGTCAGGTCACATCCTCCTCCTCATCATCATCATCATCATGTTCTTCCTGACTTTGCTGCAGCTGCTCTTCACAACTTTTGCCCTCAACTAACATCTGGACTCATGTCTGCCTCCTTTATCCCAAAACACAGTCCAAGAAATGAATCAGGGGGACCCTAATGTTAACTCACATAGACTCTATAAATTCAGCTGTAACTGTACACAGTATAAATATACTACAGTGTCTCCTTCATGTGTTTACTACAAAGTGTTTCAGTATTTTGTATGGGTGCCCCTGTTTGGGCTTGAACCTGGCTTGCCTGAGGACGTCGCATCGCCCACACCCCCCCACGGTGACAGCCACCTCCCTCCACTTTCCTGCCGAGCGTCCAGGGAGCAAGATAAGAGCGTTCTCTCGACTCGTCACAATCAGTGGGAACACACGGGGTGTGTGTGTGTGTGTGTGTGTGTGTGTGTGTGTGTGTGTGTGTGTGTGTGTGTGTGTGTGTGTGTGTGTGTGTG